CCCTGGCTACCACAGAGTTAAAAATCTTTTCCAGTCCCTGACCTCCCTGTCCCCAGAAATAACAGGCGTTGCTCTGAGCAGATGCTTTCTGCATGGCTGGCAAAAACCTCCCCCCAGAGCACCAGCGCTCGGGGTTAACGTGCTGAAAGCCAGAGGGGATCCGGGATCCAGAGCCCAGACTAAAATGCCGGCATCAGGGCCATATTAAACCACAGCCCCCTCACAGCCCCAGCACCCCTTGCACAGCCCAGTGTCTCCTGCTCTGGCGCCTTTCCCAAAGCAAGCGGCAATCCCTACCTCCAAAAACCGGGAAATGTCCCTCTTGTCATTGACCCTCATGGCCACCACATTCTCAAACATCCAGAAGAAAGGCCGCTCCTCTCCTGCCTTGGGACGGGCGTAGTTCAGGAGGTGGTAGAATTCAAAGAACATCCTCCCGGTTCCTTCTGCAAGGGAAGGAATGAGCTGTGGCACGGGGGGCACAGGCCTCCCCACCGCGACTGGCATGCACAGAACCTCTGCTCTGCAGGTGCTGCCCCACGGTTTGCGACTCCGGGAGCCACCACCAATGCAGACCGGGGCTGAACCTGGACTTTCAGGTGGCTCTTTAGGAATGCCCCGGGGGTGCCCAGCCCTGAGGAGGAAAAGCAGCCTTACCATACAGCCCCTTCCTGGCTGGACTGACAAGGGAGATGTCGTTAGAGGGGCTTCCACCGATCACCAGGTCGAAGGGACCCCACTCCTCGATCTAGAGCGAACAGACAGGCCCAGTCAGGAGGGTCCCTCCTCCCTGGCAGGGCAGGGGGCAAGCTGGTCCCAGGGCTGTGGGGCGAGCCCCACACGGCCGTGGTGCCCCATTCCCAGCCCTCCCGCAACAGCTGTGCTCACGTTTCTCTTGGTAATGTTCCTGACATCCTGCACGTAGGTGATGTTGCCCTCGTGCCGCACGGTGCCCACGGCAATGGGGTCTTCGCAGATCTCCGAGGCGATGTACTTCTCCACTTGGATACCCAAGTCCTTCAGCACCAGGTACCCTGCCAAGGGACACAGGCCTGAGGTTGCACTGCTCTCTTTAGTCTCCCGGTCTCCTTCGTCTGCGCAGCTCGACGTGGCCACTTTTGCTTGTCCTGGGTGGGTGCAGTTACACAGGACTTCTGGTTGAGCAAACCGGTTTTCCGACCTGTTCCTCCAGGCAGGTTTGCTCCCAGAAAGCAGAACTGAGTGAACTGAGTCAAACCAGTTCCCCTCAGGCACTTCTTCACCAGGGGCCAGGTTACCAGCACCCCCACAGCTCCTGCTCCTCAGTAAAACCAGCCACCCAAGAAGGAATCACTGTGAAGGAAATTCCCATGCCCTCCCTCCATCCTCCGCAGCCCTGTCCAGCCCTGCCCTCACCCCTTCTGATGGGGTTCCCCACTCCTTGTCCCTTCTCCCCTCCAAGCTTTCAGAGACAGGTTTGAGGCCATGGAAGTGTTCATCCCAGACATGCAGTGCTGCGAGCCGCCAGGACGGTGCCCTTCCCGTGCCTCACCTGTTGCTATGCCATCAAACAAAGAGAGCACTCGAATTGGTCTCCTCTTCGCTGCTGGGACCGTTGGGTAGATTTTGGGTGCAGCCTGCAATGAACACTGCAATGAAGCCCCAGCTCCCGGCAGAGCTGTGATGCCCTACGAGGCCAAACCTCAGCATTGCCTCCACCTTTGGGGGAACACCCGAAGGGCCAAGAGCCCAGCACCTTCCGAGAGGCTGGAGGAGCGAGATCAAGGCAGAGGGCTGAGGGATTTTGCCCTCCGTGGCGCCCTCCCTCAAATCCCAGCGTGCTGACTCGCCTGCCCGCAGCCCTTACGTATTCCTGTCCCTTGTCGCTGGTGAAGAAGTCCTGCAGGCGGGTGTTCCAGTCCTGCCGGCGCTGCAGCACCCCGTAGCTCCCCTGGGGCTGGCACATATAGCAGTTCCAGGGCTCCTGCTCTTTCGCCTTGGCCGATGTCCCTCGCCCCACCAGCACCTCCAGACACTCCACACAGAAGCACCTGCCCAAAGCACAAACAGCTTGTGCCCATCACCTCCAGAAACGGCCCTGGGACAGCCCAGCCTCTCCTGGAACACCCCAGCCTCTCCTGGAACCTCCCCTGCCTGGCACTGGAGCTCCTGCCCCTTTTTGCAGGATGTTTTCCCAAGCAGTACCCCGATTTTTAGGGCTGCTAACCAACGCTGGTGACCCAGGCGTGGGTAAAACTCCTGCCAACCTGGCTCAGCAGGGATGGGCAGGGATGGCAGCTGCCTGGGGCCCAGCACAGGACCCTGCCCAGGCTCACGCATGATCCTGCTTCCCTGTGGCTCCCCAGGAGCAATGCTGGGAGCTCAGCCCGCGGAGCAGACGGGTCCCTCAGGGCTCACCTGCAGCAGCTGGCATTGCTGCAGAGCAGCAGCTCCTTGCCTTCGCAGCAGACGGTGCAGTAGGACTGGTAGCCATCCTCATCATACATGTAGAAGAGCTCCAGGAATCTATCCTAGCGAAAGGACAGCCGGGAGGAGAGGACAGAGGATCAGGATCTGTGCTCAGAGCGTGAACAGAGAACGCAGCTTTGCTCCATCCCTGGTGCACGGTGAGAGCTCGGAGATGAGCATCCTTGGTGCTTCAAGCAGAGAACACGCCAAGGGACAGCCCCATGGTGGGTGCAGCAGGGCCAGGATCTGGCAGAGTCACCCCTCCTGTCCCCGCACCCCCATTCTCCGGCTCCAGGTCCCCACTCGCCCCGGCAGCACTTACCCTGCACGTCTGGCACAGGCCCCCCTGGAAGAGGGGGGGGAGGAAGATGGCCGGGTTCCTCCTCCCGCAGGACAAGCAGCTCTCTGTGTGGCAGAGACCTGTGCTCAGCCTGGGGCAGGGGCCCCCACACAGAGCGCGGATCCATGCCCCCACCCCACTGCGAGCCGCAGGGGCTGGAGCTGCTCCTCCGGACCACGTCTGGCTGCCCCAGAAACAGGCCCCGCAGGCAGGACCTGCACAGCATCTGCTCCCCGCAACACAAAGGGACACCCAGCAACCTGCAGTCCCCGCTTTCCCCCCTTTCTACACGGTGTGGCTAAAAAGGGACCCTCGTTCTTTGCCGAGGGCTACCTGCAAGCCCCACACCTTTTCCCAAGAGAGACAGGGCCATCGATTACCTTCAAGACTCCCACCGTGGTTCGTAACTTCAGAAACCATTTGCTCTTTATAAAACAAAAAAAAAAGGGGAATTTATCAATCCTTTTGTAACAAAATTTAAACGAGCTCTTACAGGCGCCTTATTTCTTGCACCAAAGCAGCTTGTTTGAGCCTTGCACAGAAGGCAGGCCATGGGCACCCTGGAAATCTTGGTGCAAAACCCATCTGCCCACTGCTGGTGATACAGAGCCAGAGCTCAAAGTGGCCGCACACAGATCCTGTCCAAGCCGAGCGAATAAAGCAGCCCAGCCTGCAGTGCTACGTCTTGCAGTTGGGTTTGCTGGTGTCTCATAGGGCACAAGTGAGCAACACGAGGCCACAAAAGCCTTTTCCCTCTGGAAACCCAGCTCATGGTCCCTGGGAAGAGCCGAGACCTTTCCCAGAGAGGCTTCCCAGTGCTTTCCAGGATGCCCAGGCCACGCTGCTCCCCAGCTCTTGCTGCTGGTTACCTCGGGTCTGGTCCTCTTCCACTCGCTGCTCTTTGCCATTGTTGCAGAGGTTGGTCTTCAGCCTCTTGGTGGGGGGACACTGCTCGAGGGACAGCACCTCTTCCGTCCCTTTCCTTAGGATCCCGTTCTCTGCAAGGGAAAAGCATCTCCCTGGGATGAGCCTCCAGCAGAAGGACATCCCCAGCGCACCCATGTCCCACCCCAGCCAAAAGCAGAGCCCTTCCTGACCACCCCACACATGGCTCAAGGCTCAGCCAGGTCACCGATTTCCAGGAGCAATGACTGGGAGGGTGAGCAGCCCTGGGGCCACCTCGGGGCTGGACCAGCACAGCCACAGCTGCTGCCCATGCCCACCTCATGCCACCACCTGACCCGAGGCTTTGTTTTAGCCCAAGGGCTTGAAGCCGGTGAGCGCCCAGTCGACCATGGGCTTCAGCTGCTCCTCCAGCGACTCCCCGGGGGCGGCTGCAAACGTCTTCCCCGACCGGCTCCGGGCAACCTGCCGAGAGAGGAGGGATGGCCAGGATGACCGAGGCTGGTTCCCCCATCCGGGGAGCAGCCTGGCTGCAGCGTGCATGACCCACATGCCTGCCGGGGCCATGGTCCTGGGCCCCCTCCCCACCACGCGCACATGCACAGGGCTCAGTGTCCCCGGCACAGCAGCAGCTGCCAGATTCCGGCTCTGGGTGTGCCCTTGGCCACAATCCCTCCCAGCAATGATTCTGTCTGGCCTCCACCAGCCCCAATCCAGTCAGGAGCAGGGACAGCCCAGCATCAGCTCTCTCCCAAACCCTGCTCACTGGCAAGCAACAGCAAGCAGAAAACAAAAGGCAGAAGAGGGGCCTATGGGTTTGCAGCACCATAATCCGGATGATGCACCCCCTGGATGGAGATCAGTCCCACGGGGAGCTCAGCCCCACCGCAAAGGGCACCCAGCACCAGCTCAGGACACCTCCTGCCAGCACGACACAGCCTTGGCAACCGCGATGCTGACACAAGTCCGGAGGGAGCCCGACCCCAGGGGGGTCCGCAGACCCTGGAGCAGCAGCAGTTACGCCCCCGATTCCCCCAGAGTAAGCCAGGGAAGCTCAGCCCCACGGCTGCATTTGGAAATAGTCTCAGCAGAGAAAGGAGGGTTTGCCTACAGACATCTGTCCCAGTCATGGGGGAAGCGCTTAGCTCTGGGCTGTGGCAGGAGCTCCCTCCGCTGTTCACTCTCAAGGTGATTTGCAGGCACCATCCAGAACCCACCCAGAAGCAAAGCAGAGAAACGTGCAGGGGCAGAGCCAGGAAAAGCCCCAGTCCCAACCACCTCCCTGCACACTGCCCGGGTTCTGCAGGCACCGGGGCTGAGCAGACGCCCAGCTTCCCGGCCGGCACAGCTCTTCCTGCCCCAGAGAAGCATTTCCTTCACTGGCTCAGCCCTGAGCACAGCCCATCTCCCCCTGCATCCCCCATGGAGCCCCGATGCTTAACATCCAACCCCAGCTCTGCTCCCTGCTTACCTCCAGGGCATGGTATATGGCTCGTCGGTAGGAGACCAGCTTATTGAACGTGGAAGAATTGAAATGCTGCCTAAAGGCCATCAGTCCCACCAGCTTGTCTGCAGAAACCTGCGGGAGAGCGACAAAAGCTTACCAAGTGGCACAGGCGCACTTTGCTTCGGCCGTGTGCCCCACAGCACCGTGCTCCCCGTGCCCTCCAGCACGGCTCTTGAGCCACAGGCCAGGGCGCTGAGCTGTGGCCAAGCTTTGTCTGGCCCATGCAGCCAGGCAAGGAGTTCTATTGTCAGCTTTGCAGAGGGATGAGGGCAGAGACATCGCATTTGCAGCTAGGAAGGGTGTTTTGCACCCTCTGCCAGCTCAGACAGCACAGCACAGGCACCCGGGGACAGCACTCCCCTCCCTCCTGCCTGCAGCTCCGGGCAGATGCAGGACAGCCAAGGGGTTCAGGGGCTCCAGAAGCGCATCCCAAACCAGGCAGAGAGCAACGAGGGCAGCCCTGGAGACCTGAGCTTGGACAAAACCCTGCAAAGGTGCCGGGCAGACACCTGCAACAGGATTTTCCTTTGTTCCACTGCTGGATCCTGTCACCCACCTACAGTGGCCGGCCATTAGTTACTGACACCAGAGCCATGCAGCGCCTGACCACGCAAGATGCCCAGGGAGGCTGCAGACACACCCCACTGGCAGCCCCAGGAATGGGACAGATGGCGGAAATGAGCAGGGGAAGGGATTTCAGCCAGGAAGAAACCAGGCGCAGGCAGGGGCAGGCAGCAGGCTTACCTCAGAGAACTTCCCGTCTCCGAACCACTGCACCCACCGCATGCCCGAGACAGCCTGGCGCTTGGCTGTGGCTCTGTAGGACACGACGATGGCAGGCCACCATGAGAAACCTTTGATCTTTCCCCAGACGAGCTCCCCGATTCCAAAGTCCTTTCCATCCTGAAGGCAAAAGACACCACAGATCAGCCAAAGACACAAACTCCCCATTTTATCCGAGCAGCCGCAGGGGTGGAAACGGCCATGGGACACCCTGCGGAGCGGCTGCGCCACGTGCCACTTGCTGCAGTGGACCTCTGTGCGATGATGGATAAAAGCTGCACCCCCTCCCTCAAAAACACGGCAGAACACCCCCCGGCAGCGCTAGCTCCCAGCCCTGCACCACGCAGCAGCACGGTGGGAAGGTCTCAGCACTGGCAGCCCCATGCCAAGCCCGGCGCCTGGCACGCACGGCACGGTGCGTGCTCCGTCCTGCACAGCCCTCCTGGCACCGGC